CTCGGTCGCTCGTTTCCCGGGGCAGAGCGGGAACAGCGACGGTCCCCTTATGCTGCACACGCTGCCGTGGGGTTTACCCCTGTGCTCGTCGAGGTTCTTACTTGTTTAGGAATTAGCCAGCACTAAACCCTAGGTAGACATCTCCGGGGAGTCAGTAAAAGGAAAGTCTTGCCACTAAAGCATCCGCAGCAGTTGCCCAGTGTTTGAATCCACGTTTCTTACCCCCATTCACCTATTCCGGGGTTTTGGCGTTGCTGACCCTGCCTCAGCTCATATGTAATTCCACGCAACACCTCCAAACAGCTTCAAAACCAAAACTGAAAAGAACTATATAGAGGCAAGTGGGCATTTCTTCCTTAGCCGAAATAATGGCAGAACTCTACTACCACCGTGAGAGCAGATGAAGCAATAGCAGCATGTGTTCACTTATTCTGGAGACAGGGGGTTTAGCTGCTTAATTCTGCAGTTTTTAACTAGGTATCATGAACCAGGTAAAATAAAGACTGAGTTAGGTGTTGAGCAGGAACACCATACCAGAGTGCTTTGGGAAACCTTAATAATAGAAATTTATCTAACTTGCAGAGTTAGGCAACAGCTGACCAGCAGATTTTAGTGTCTACTTTTTGGATCTCGGTGCCTTAGGTAGTCATTGACAGCTGAGCTCACCCACAGCCCAGAGCTGGCTGCCGATCTGGCGCCAAATGCAGGACCAAGTAGCCCAGCCGTGCCTGGAGGCCGCAGGTGGTGTGTGGGCACAGCACACCACAGCAGCTGGGCTTGCTGCGGCTGACCACAGCTCTGCAGTCCAGTCTCTGTGCAAAATCATAGACATAGATAGGCTCCAGACTCCCATCCGTGTTCTGCAAGGGCTCTTGAAGTCGTTCCTATCTTTCGGCAGGAGAATCCAGTTCAAAAGTGGGCATTTACATATTAATTACTTATTATATGAAATTAATGTCAATTGCTACAGATGATCCTTGTATTTTTCTTGAGTAGATGCTTGTGGGGAAGAAAGAATTACAGAAATTAATGCTGGTAAAAAACCTTGGAATGTAATGTATAGTCTGTATTTATTTCTAGATGTCTGTTTCTCATCATCTGCATCCTTCTATAAAGGCCAAGAATTACTAAGAGAATGAAGTAATCTTTCCTTATTTTTACAGTCAAGAGTATTGAGTGGTAATGAAATGGAAAGCACAGCGAGCCATTCAGATCTCTCATTGGAGCTTCTGTGGCGAATTGTATTAGATGAACATCTGACAAAAATGCTTTGGAGATTTGTTTTCCTTTTATCTGGCTCCTGTGAAAGAGCAGAATATTACTTTACTTCCTGTGGTGATATGCTGCCACATAAATTATTACTGCAGTCTCTCTCTGCTGGCACATTCCCCACTGCTATAAAGTGCTAACAACATGCAGACAAAGCAGACTATATTTGTCACAAAATCTTACCAGTCCACAACAAGAGACACTGGTGTACAGACTAAGTATTACTAGAGGAGTAGCTAAAAAGCTAGGTGTTTCACTACACTACTCAGGATCTTTTAAACACAAAAGTACATTATATGGGAAATTGAGCTGCTATAATTCAGTAGTTACCTTGTTTCACATATATATATAATCATTAGGCAAAGCAGGAATATCTTGTGGCTGCAGAAGGTCTTAAAGGAGCCAGTGTGGCTGCAGACATTATCACATGGTTCATAACTTAATGATAGCTGTTTAGGGACAATCTCACCCTGGAGATGCAGTTTCTGTACTCCAAACAAGAGGGCTTTGGCTGCAAATTCCTGAGATCTACCTATTTTTTAAAGACTTTAGTGATACCTTAAGGGTCAAAAGACCCCCAGATGTAAGCAGCTTACATGCATGAGATTTAGGCTAGTTTGCTGATGCTTTGCTAAAGTCAGTAGTGTCTAGTTTGGATGTTTTGCTAAAGTCTGTAGTATAGTTACTTAGTAAATTTAGAACCCTATTCAAGGACGGGAAGAATCGGGAGGGGATGAAGCAAAAGATAATAACGGTTTGCCAAGGTTGCCAGACTAGAAGGAATGAGAACTAATTGACGCAGGAAGATTTGTGGCTCCTTACAAAGGACAGTTTTTGATAAGAACCAGGAGTTTACCTTAAGAACTGGTTTACACCGACCCCGCAGTTTGGGCAAGAGCCAAGGAGCAACTGAGTCTGCGCAAGAACAAGGGGTTACTAGCGGTGACGAAGAGGAGCCATCAGCCTTCATCCCCATGACCCCCGACGACCACCACCAGGAGGCACTGAGCAGGTGCAGTGGGGAGGAGTTTATGGAAATGACTTCTTGGGGCTAATTTTAATACGAAGCAGGGACAAGTCATGCATATGTATAGGCATATTTGGGAATCTTATGGTATATGTAACACTTTGCTACATATAAACAGGACAAGCTGTCGTGTTGCGGCACGCACGACTTTGGTGGGACTACCCCCCGTGCTGCCCAGCGCTGAATAAACATACCTACTTTATAATCTTACAGATTGTGGAGTCTGTATTCTGCACATCAACTGCAGTTGGTATGCTGCAGGCTGCTGCCTTGTAAGAGCGTTAGCAACCATCACTGCTGACAGGAAAGTGCAGGGGAGAGCAAATTTGCGGTGTGTGACTACCAACTAACCCCCCTCTGGACAATGGGAAACGCCTACCAGTTCTTCCAATGTAGAGCCTGTACTATTGGACTGAAATCAGTGTTAAATATCCATCCAGAGACAGCCAGCCCTTTCATTATGCATTACAACTCAGTTTGTTGCAACTATCCTTTTAAACGAACTAAAAAAATCCCTAATTATTTGCTTAGGTAAATTCTGGTTCGTAGTAATGACACCCCAACTTCTCAAACTCAGTGTTACATATCAAAGTCCTACCCCTACTATGCCAGGCCAGGCCGTGCTTACCAGGCCAGAAAGAAAATACAACAGCCTGTAACTTTTGTTTCCAAAATGAGCAAACAGGTTTGCACGCACTTAGATGTGATGCACTTAAAAACCTTCAGCCCGAAAAATAACCCATGGAAGAAAGTTCCTCTAAGAGAACAGTGCTGTGGAGGAGTGGTAAGACAGAAAGATATGTTAAAATCTATTGGGGGGGGGGGGGGGGGAAGAG